AGCAATGACTAATCGAAATCAATTCAGTTTATTATAATAAATTATAATTAGAATTGGTTGTTTCCGTAGTGTGGAACGGGTTGAAAGAGTGAGAGAGAGAAAAAGATCCGAACCATGTGTGTATGCAGAAAAAAATTCCAGAATTTAAACCGTCTATGTCCTTTTCAAGCGCAAAAAAAAAAAAATAAAATTATTTATGACTGAGCATGACTAATGACTTCGTTTAGCAAATAAAATAGTTTTGGGTTTCAGGTCCGGTTTCAGTATGTATACATTCAATTCCATTTGATGATCATGCTGAGCAATCTTCAGCGTTTATTAGTATCAGATGTTTTTCCGCAAAAATTTACTGTGCGACCGAGACAGGAATTTCATATCAAATATTTCCAAAGTACAATGAATATAAAAAAAAAATATCCTTAATTACGGCTTTATGTCCGAATGCCTCGACGAATTTATGGAATTTCAATTTTCAAAAAAAAACGAGAACCTTTTCGAATACATTTGTGGATTTTAATACAAGACATTTTGTAGGCGTTGAATGTTATCGTCTAAATCCTTTTTAATAAATTCTCTCAATCTCTCTATTCAAGAGCTACACATTAAGATCTCCTATAATTATAAGCACGTTATAAAAAAAGAGAATTTCGTTACGTTTTTTTTTTGTTGTTGGTGTTTTATGCGTGTTTTTTTCCTCTTCTACTCATATTCGTTTGTTCCATGGAATTTCAAACGGGTTAGAAAATGAGCGTGTCGACAAAGCGCCTCATTTGGATTCCATGCGGCTTTCATGTTCCTTTCGTCATCTCTCTTTTTTTCGTGGTTGAGCGTTTCTTCTTCACTTGAAAAGGAACTCGAAGTGAAAAAAACACACTCATCATTTCTGAAAGTTGAGACGACTCCAATTGTTGCTCTGTGTCGTTTTTTTTTCTTTATTTTTTTCGACGAAATCTATTTGAAATAGCATACTAATATGCATGTGCGCGATGCGATCATTATCTTCAAGAGAAAGAGATGCTCTCTTTCTCTCACTCAACCGTAATCAAAAAAAAAATCGAGAGAAAAAAAAAGAAATTTTAAAAAGAAGGCACAAAGAAACTCATTTAAAACAGCCCGATCCAGAAGTGGCTCAGGGAAAGAAGAAGAAATCATGATAATTATATTTCACTATCAACATTAAATTTGATATGCGAGTAAACCATTTTATAAATATTATCGATGATAAAAAAAAACAAGAACCCAAAACACCGTACGAGTTCATTGAAACCACGGTCATGATGGTTCCACTAATTCGATTTTCATTATAATTTTAATCGATTGGAAAAGAAAAGAAAAAACAAAAAATCATTTAATCAGAACACAAAGTCCACAAACCTGGAAAACCGCAACAAGTGTGTGATTCAATATTTCGAAATCGTATGTGTTTTTATCGGATTTCGGAAAAAGACCAATTCAATTCCATGTTCGCTGTAATCAAAACAGATATCAATTTCGGTGCCGTTTTTTCACTTCTCTTCCTTTTAATTGTATGCATCAGCCATTTGCACAAAAAAAATTGAACGACAGAAGAAAAAATGAACAAAAGAGGGAAAAAAATTTGTTCAATTCGGCGCGGTCATTGTGCGATTTCGTGTATAGATTTGCCAAATAAGCGGCAAAATAAATAAATCTGGTCGACGAATGAATAAAAAAAATTGTCAATTTTAGCACAAGTATGTTATGAATTTGCGATTGCGATCAAATTTTTTTTTATTATTATTATTCTTGCCTGTTCCGTCAAATCTATGTGAAAACACACATATACTCTTTCCTGAAATGTAAATATTAAAATAAAATATTTAAATAAAATTCAAATATTTAAGCTGCCATTTTTGTGTATGTGCGCGTGGAATCATTCTTGTCAATTCAGCGACGAAACAAAAAAAAAAGTGTCAAGACAAAACCGACAGAACAATCACAAAAAAGAATCGCATTTTCTAAGCTAAACTCCAAATTAAAATATCAACAACATCAGCAGCTCCATTAATTGAGCACATTTTTAGATGTTTATTTTCAGAAAATAGCCAGTGTCAATGACTTCTGGCCGAACTGATTCAAATAAATCGATTGTTTGGACTTTCGATATATGTGTGAGTTGATTGTGTTGATTAAAAATTCACATTAATAAGCAACGTCATAAAATGTGTGAAATGGAAAACGAACTCGCATGAAAAGTGAAGAAAATTATGTGTCTGACAACAATCGGTGTTGCAAGACATACACTCACTGAAAAACGGTTTAAATGTGATAAAACGAAGACATTTGTATGCAAAGTTCAAAATTGAGATAGAATGTGATGAAACAGAGAGGAGAGACTGTTGCTTTTACCGGTTGTTAATTTGTTTGATTTAACTACTGTGTCTCCGTTGACGGTGTATTTCGATTGTTTCTTTGGTTATTTGTGTAGACGATGAGATTAGATGAACACACGAAAAAGGGAAAACAAGTGTAGTGAGTCGTTCTTCGTTCGATTAGACAAAATCTCGTATTCACCCGAGAAAAAAAAATTATTAATTCCAAAACAATGGCATCGGATTTCGAGATGTAGATTGGTTGATGAGGTTAGTGATTCATCATCGGGTCGACAATAGAATAGATTTGTTTTAAGTAGCCACTTGACTGTTGGACGCCAGCACAAATGAAATGAAATGGCTTGAAGCCATCTCTCTCTTGATAGAGAGTAACTATTGCCGACATGCCATGGGTGCTAGAAATTGAAAATGGTAATGAAGACGGGGTAAACGTTGAAAATTAGACGGCAATCAAATACGAACTCCAAACCAAGCCAACCGACCGGTCGACCGACAGCAAAATGTGCATATGGAATCACGAATCGTTTCTCACTCTAATTATCTGCAAATTTGCAAACAGAAAAAGACACTGTTTAAATCACACACACACATACCCACAGTACTATCCAATATGATCGGAATGATTATTTCGGTTCTTGAGCTCTTTGTTCGATTGATGTTGGTTCGTTTTTCGACCAACCGTCCGACGATCATTTCCAAACGATATAATCGGTTCGGTGCTTCGGGCCAAGTCAGGGCTAATTTCATACGCTTTGACCGAATCGTGGAAATATATATATTGAGAAAATTATCATCGCACAAAAGAAAAATCGTTCAAGAATCCGGGCATCTTTCGTTCTTACCGTTTTTTTCGAAACGCTTACCATCTGATTTATTCATGCGTAATGCGTGTATAATGAATGCCTTTTTAAAACTCTTTGCTACTCGAAAAATGTTTATCGCTTTAACTATTTAAAAAAGTGGATGTAAAGAGTCAAGTCTCTTTCTCTCTCTGCATATCTATCTATGGAATGATTGTTTTGTTCTCGCGCTATCGTGCCACAAAATAGTTTTGAAAAGCGTTTCGTATCGAATCGTCTCATTATGAAAATAATGTGGTGTGTGCCTTGGTTAAATGTGTGTTTTCTTCATTATTTTTGATTATCATCGTCGAAGTCTTCGCGTCTTTCTAATATCGTTCGATAATAATGGAAACAAAAGCACATAAATATACAGATTTCTTCTTCTTTTTTTTTGTGTGTGTAAAAGAGAATCATTTCCATACCAATTATTATGCAGACAACAAAATCCGAAATGGACCCGTCGCGATACACATTAACGTAACAATCATTTCAACAACCGACCAGAGAAAAAAGAAGCATCGAGGCAATCGAACGGTAGAAAAGATCAAGAATAAACCATCAACTGATGTGAATAGTTTCACATTAACGATTATATTTTTTTCTCTCGATTGCATCTCATTTTTTTGTGCCGTCATTTGATGCTTGTTGTTGTTATCATAGCTGACAGCCGAAAAATGAATCTTTTTTTCGTTACACATGCCTTTGTATCGGTCATAAGTGTCAGAATGGCAATTCTCGGCAACAGCTACTTTTTGACAGACCAAAACAAATAAAAATCAAACAAACAAAAAAGGTTAAATAGGTTCGTTTGACTGAAGTGGAGCACAAATCATGAAAAGCCAATGAAATGAGATTTAAATGCATAACATTGGTGAAGAGTATGTGACCCATGTACACATGAATTGTGCTTGAAAAGAACATGTTTTCTATTTAAAAATGGACTTCACGTCGTACCGCAAAGTGTTTGCTTAAAATGCTACTTTGTTCTTTAAATTGCACACCCGTCTTAAGACCATAGGGTCTCTTTTTCTATTGCCACGTTCCAAGTGTGAAGCAAACAAATTACATGTACAAATTTTTCACTTGAACATAGAATTCAATCTCAACCAAATTGATCGCCTTTGTTGAAGAAAAGCAAAAACGAAAAATGTTTCGAATTCGTTCGAAGCATACTTAAATCTATTTAAGTAGTGAGAAGTGAAGAGAGAGAAAAAAAATGGTTGAAAACATGGAAACAAATAGCAGAAAAGCACGACGATGAATCGACAATTCAAGAGATAATAGACAAGACATTTGGGAGAGCGAAAAAAAAAATCAAACGAAACAAGGAAACAATGTTTTTCATTCTTTAGAGTATGCTTTTTTTTTGTATGGCGCGCGCATATTTTTATTTTATTATGATTTTTTTTGTCGATTCTTCGCAGTGAACTGAAAGAGATAAAAAGAGTTTAAAGAGCACGTAAATACACAGTGAAAATTCCGCTTCGTATGTAAAGCAAACAAACCATACACAAACGGTTTTTTTCTTCTTTTTTTGAGTTAAATAATAAACTCGTAAAAAGTAATTATTACATACGCACGTGTGTGTATAAAATGCTAACGTGAAAAAGTTAGAGAAACGGCATTTAGCTTGGCTCATCTGAAAATGAGCCAGCGAAAAATCCATAACGAGATCTCTCTTAACGATTAAACAAAACAAAAAAAACCACAGAAAAAAAAACACATAATGTAATAAAGTGTTTGAAAACCGCATTTAGTGAAATATGCTTACAATTTTAACAGTTTCTTCTTCTTTTTCTCATTTCAGACAAGCCGCTCATCTTTGAATAAATTTGATGTAAGTTTACCAATGCGCTCTTTTATGCAATCTAAAATATATATTTTCCTCTCTTTTTTTTGAAAAAAAAAAAAAAAAAAAAAATTTCTTGAATACTACCGCGTGCGAGATGTACAACTCTTCAGTATTGCTTCATGTCAAAATAATTATTGTGTATTTTTTTTTTGTTGTCTGAAAATGAGACTCTCGTTTACGAAATTCTCCAAAGAGACAGTGAATGTTTACTTTAAGCGCTTTTTCCCAATTAGTTTCAAAGCTGTTGTAATGTATGCGTACGCGTGATTGCGTTTTTTTGTCTTTTCTCTTGGTGCTGCATGAAAACAAAACGACATTCCAAAAAATATATATATGCAAGACTCTCTTTTTCTCAGTTGGGACTCTATTCAAATGTAGTTTCTATTCGCAAAAAGAACTCAAAAAGTGTGCATCGAACTCCAAGCCTTTTCCGCAAAGGACGGTCTTTTTCCACCGAACTTAGTTTCGATGTGTCGCAATTAATATAAATCTAAATCACAAAACCCTCATTTTACAAAGGTGCGTTTTCTTCTTCTTTTCATCTCACAAAGGTGAGTCTGAAGGCTGTCTAGTTGATGAAACATAGAGCTACAGTGAAAGGCACAGCATGAGTTGCTGACAAGACAAAACGATTTTGCCAAAATAAGAAGAAAAAAGATGAGACGCATGCAGGAGGCTATTGGCTTGTTCCGTATTATATTCGATGATGTTATACCCGATATCCGATTACATCTTGCAAATTCTACGCATTTTTTTTCTTTCCCGATGTTGATGGATGATAAAATTGATGCTCTTAATTCAATGCAATCAGGCATTTGATCAAATTCTTGTGTGTGTTGTCAAAAGATGATCCATTCCATTATCTTGTCTTCTGCCAATAATCGTAATACTGGCCTCTCGTAACAAAACACAAATATTTTTTACTCAGTCGACAACAGCAAAACAAAATATATATAAAAAAAACGTGGCATCTGCGATTGGATCTCTTTCACTCTCACGCTCTTTCTCTCTCTCACAACAAACAGAGATAAATAAATTCGCATGATGCAACGAACGATGTGTGGTTATTTTTATAGTTCATTCTATTTTTAAAGTGAAAAAAGGTGTTTTTCATTTATCTTGATCGTGTCGTATTATTTTTTTCGTCATCTCATTTTGCATTGTTGAGATGCAGTTGATGAATGCTTTTTTTATAGAGAAAAAAAGTCTGAAAAAGAAAAAATCGGCAATACAATGCTCAATCAAGTATTTCAAATTGTCTATTTGATTCGGTTGAAAAGATCAACAGTAAATCATCAACCACCATATCACATCATCATCCCAATAATGTGAGAGATTCTTTGGCAAAATATACAAAGGTGTTTCAAGAGGTCGAAATAATATAAAAACACAGACAGCGATCCCTTCTACGGCACAGAGAAAGACGGATCCTTTCCTTGGAAACAAGGAACTGTAACATGCTCTTGTTGATTGAATGAGTTTATAAACGTAACACAAAACATCAAAACATCGATTTGATAGAGTCTCGGAAGACAACACACATACTTCAATTGTCATGTTTATCATTTAAAACAAGCATCGCATGAAAAAAAAAAAACGAGTGCACAATAAAAGTTATATGACAGATTGAAGTTGAAGTGGTTGGCGGCTTTACAATGCATCGATGCTAAACAATGACCGAAAAAAAATTGTTGAACGAGAACAAAACTGGCAAACATGTTGTGCCTGATTATATGAACTGTTCACGTTAACAGTGAAAAAGAGCCTTGACAAGCCAATACCGAACAAAGGCCAGAGAGATACACATAATAAACAGGATGTCGTATTATATTCTCAACATTTTTAGTAATATAGTAATTTATTATGATTTCTGGTGTGTGTGCATGTCATCTTTTTCTTCGTGTCAATCGTTTATTCCTGCCAACTGTTCGCCCTTTTCACTCGCTCGATTCCGAAATGTCCATTTTTCTCTTTATCGAGGATTTTTTTTTATTGAAGCGCTCTTGTTCTCCGCGACGGCATATTAAGCGTGTAATGCATAACGAATGTGCAAATTGATACAATGAATTCCGATGGTCTTTGATATTCAACAACAATTTATTGCATTAATCGGACCAAATTATACACACACGTTGAACGCGCTCGGTTCATGCGCATTTAGATCCAACGAAAAATGTAATATTAAAATGCATATATGATTTTTGGATGAATTCCTATTCTATATTCGTGACAAGCATGTCTTTTGCATTTATATTCGGTATTTTGAAAGACAAAATGAACAGATCACGTGGAATTGACTGCCGAAAAATTCTGAGCACACTTTTTTGTTCATTTAATCACCCACTTTTGTTTGGTGATAATAATATGCGTATTCAGTATGCGATAGAAAAAGGTGAAAGAAGAGTTGGAAGCCGAAAAAAAGAAAACGAGATAACTGAAAAGGTTGAAAAAAGTGTCGTGAAGGTGTGTGTGTATACATTGAAAATTCACACATTCGAAGAGATTTCTCGAGTTTTGATTCAACACACCATTTAAACAAAAGACCACTGACTTGAACAATGTATACAACATGTGAAACAAAAATAGTCGATAGCCGTTTTGTTTCCATTGAGAGTTGGCCGTTTCGGATATTTACTTCAATCAATTAAGCAAGAGACTTTATTTTCTTTACTTCGTTCTCAGTTTTTTTTTAGGTAAAAGGTGAAAACAAAACCGAAGAGAATTACCAAAAAAAAATAATAATATGAAGAAAATAGAACAACTTCTGAAAAGAGTCGCTTATTTTATTGACACTTCAGAAGAAGAGCCAAGAATACACACACATACACACTTGAAGAAGAGAAAGAGGATAAACGAAGAAGAATACCGTAACAATGCACTGAGCGAAACAAAGAAAGAATGAAGTAAGAAAAAAATCTCTTCGCTCTGGACGAGTCAAAAGACGAGAGAAAAAAGAATAATAGTGGAAGATCACAAAATGATAAATTCTTTGATGATAATAAATAAAAAAAAGCGTACAAAATAGATTAAGAGGAACCATCAGGTTCTTTTTTTTCTTCTTACAAAAAAATACGACAGAGAAAAAAGGACACAGATTATTTAATCGGACAAGCAGGAAATTCGTAAAGCACTGAGCATCAATCGGTTCGCATTAGAAACAAGAGAATCGAATCGTTTTATTGCATCTTCCATGGCACAACCGATTTCTTAGTAACGGACACAAAAGCTGACGACGATGACAACACAAACGAGATAAAGCGATATCGATAAATCAAGAAGTTTATTCAATTGTGTGTTACAACTACAATATAAACATCAAACACATTGCACCGATAATACGGGCTAATGAAATTTTTTTCTCTCTTTTCTTCATTGTGTTCGCGCGCATCCTTTCCGAAAAATCGAAACCCCAAACGAAAAATTATGAGACACAAACGCAAATATATGAGCTAAAGGATTTTTCAAGTAGACAGAGCGAAGATATATATAAGAAGTCCGGTTTAATGACACACACTCTTTCACACACAAACCCATGTTGAAAGGATTCCAAATGAGATATTGAAGATTTATATGAAATTGAATCTGGTTTCGAATGTGTTTATATAGAAGTTCGGCTTATGAACAATAAACTATCGTATTAAAGGAGAGAGAGCGGAATGATATCGAAAAAATTCCAATAAAAATGCATTAACAACACTTTTTTCGTAGGTTTTAATCGCTACCTTTACCCTTTCGCTGCTCTCCATGCTTCATTTCGGTAATATTTTTTGAGCTTGAAGCAAAAAAAAAAAACGGACTGTAATAAATTTGTATTCGGTTCCTTAATTTTTTTATCTTTCGCTATAAAAAAACCCCGAGAAATTGAAAAGGAATGAAAAAAAATTAATTCATTTTTTCCTCATTCGAGAGTCGCTCTTGAGCATCATTATTGTGTTTTTTATTATTAAGTTGCTTGATCCGGAGATTTGTTGCGGACAAAAGTGGAAAAGAGAAATATCCAAATGAAAATTAAAAGTTTTAAGTGCAACAGCATTCATCGGTGTGCGGTCGATAATCAGTATATATAGATGTGGTCAAGCGTGTATCGTTTATACACCTTCTCATTTGTACCTTTATTTCAGGGGCTATCTCCAGTCTATATTTGATCTTTCTCTCTTAAAATATCTAACGACCACAAAATGTAATCAAACACCACAAATCTAAGACACTCTCATCATCTAGAGACAAGCCTTCGAATATCATTCAATTCTCTTTGCCACATTCACGGGGCCATTTGGAAAACAAAAATCAAATACATAAAATAATAACAGCTTTTCATTTTAAAATTTGGTGTATTCAAAGATCATGCACATTCTGTTTTTAACATCGAAAAGAACACGAGAAAAAATATTAAATTTATTTCGTTGGCTGTTTTATTGTTTAATATTGACGATTCGTAAAATGTCTCTAGGGGTCTATAATTATCGGTTGATGCATTTTTATTAGTGTTTGAAGAGGAAAAATGAAATGATGAAAAAATAACAAATAAATTGTTATTTCACACTCGCACATCTCAAACGGCATTATTATTTTATTATGAATTGAAATACAAAAGGCGCACACAGAATAACAACAAAAAAAAATGGAAAAACTTCGTTCCTCCCCAAACACAAAAGCAAATTGATTCAAGCGAATGCATTTGGTGTTGAATTTCTTAAGTCAGCCAAATCAAAATCAAATGATCGGTTTGAAAGAGAGAAAAAACCAATATCATGTTTCATTCGAACATTTCTGACACTTTGTATTGTTGTTCATTCACGACCAACCTGCCGAATATAATGAACAAAAAAAATGCTTTTTTTTTCTTTATGAATTTATTTCTTCTTCGCTCCGTTTATTTTATTCCGTTTGACCACTTTCAGTCACTTGGAATCGATATGGACTCCCTTTCATTTGACTTTCTTTTCACAGTGAATTTCAATGCAATTCAAAGAATTGCGACTGAC